TGGCCTAGACAAAACAAGCTCCTAAACCTTCCAGTGCAGGAGTAGCAGCACCGCAAGGGTACGTTTTTTTAATTTTCCCGGAGTTCTTTTTTAAAACTGACCAAAAGCTTTGTAAATGCATTCTTATACAAGCTAAAGCCCACTTATATGATTTCTCACAGGTCAGGGCTGGGATCGAACCTCCTGCATATCTCTGAAAAACAGGGCATGAGATCTTCCCCAGTTCACCATAGCTTAGCAAACTTAACTAGACTGTCAGCTGAGCTACTGTTGTCACCTACTGAAGTACAGAAATATATGGAGAGCTCCCCTAGGCCAGGGACAAAAGTCAACTTGGCTGTAAAATCAAGCTGGGGACTAATATTTGCATAGAATATTAAAAACCTGGCGAGTAGCGCTGTCCCCATTAAATTTAGAACAGGACTATTTGTTCTTAGGAGAGTCATTCGTTAAAGGTTTTTAATCAATATCATTGCTAATATGAATGTTTTCAGCTCCAGCAAAAGTACAAACTTCACATGAGCCATTTCTGATATGATAAATTGCTAAACACTCCAAAAAGTAAACATAAAAAATGAAAACAACAATTAGATTATCTGCAACCCATAGCAATAACAGATTAAACTATGACTAAGACTTCTCTTTAACATATAAATTTAAACCGAAAAAAGAAATATTGCCAAAAGAAAACAATGATATCATTCACACTACCATAAAAGTGCATTCAAATTTGTATGAGAAATAGTTCAATGTGAAAGTAGATCTATGAGACAGAGAACAATAAGATTCCTTTTATTCCCCAAAGGATCTGAAAGTTAAAAGGCACTGAATAATGGTTTTTAATGGATTATGATCATGGCTAAAAAAAACAAAAAACTTTAAATAACTTTCTTTTTTTTTAAAATATGATAACATTTTAAATATCGCATATTCATTTTTTGTATTCAGCTTCTGAGAAAATGGGGAAGGGGAGGGAGGGGTTGGGGCTTAGGCTCTGTTTTGCATATTTTCCACGAACTCCTTAGCCCCACTGTTGAAAAAAAGCCTGTATAGAGAACTCAGTAGCTCACGGTTAAATTTGCACACACAAAAGTAAAAGTGTTGAGTCAGAATGAGTAAGAGAAATAACTCATCTCTAATTGGATGGCTCCAATTTGATGTGTTTAAAGCATATCTAAACTCATAACCAACAATGTAATATAATGCAGCGCACACATCCTTAGATATGCTGGTTGTATTAGATTTGCGTATTTTCAGGCATTTTATCCTTTAATTTTACCTTGTAATTATGTGAATATCACTCTCCCTGTTCCTAGGTGGCTATGCTTAACCCTCCAGTGTACCTATGGATGTCATCCAGGCTGCACTTCAAACCTGTCTGCCTTTGTTCATCTCCTTTACATGGTAGTTGATAGGATTACTAATTTACTCAGGATAAAATCAGATTGTTTTTGCTTCCATTTCATCTCACAGGAAATAAGGAACTTTCGTAAATAAGATCAGTATTTTCGGCATTTCCTACAAATGTTCTTACCACAGAAATTCAAACTAATGCAGCTACCACATCGAAGGACTGGTAAGCTGCATTATGCTATTTTTGTTCCCTGGGTTTAGTTATACTTTAAAAATCAGCCAGACCATTCTGAAAGGTGACATGGGTTGCTGTGCTGACTCTAGCTTTCTAGTGGTACTCTGGGAATCCTCTCTCATGTATTACATATACAAATTGTACTTCCATAATAAAGAGAAATTAAAAAATCTTTTTTATTTTTATTGCTCATTCATCAGTAAAGAATACAGCAGAAGTTTCAGGTAATCCTGCCCTTTGTTGAGCTCTACAAAGGGCAGGGATGCCTGAAACTGTTGCTGTATTCTGTACTAGTAAACAAACAGTTAAAATAAGCTCTCTGTGCTGCCACTCCTTCTGATATGTATAAATACATATATAACTATCAACTTCGTATTACAAATATGTATTCATATTTTTAGAGGAAGCATGTACTGAGGAAATAAGGAGGTGGCTTTAGGTTTTTCTATTTGCTCTTGCCCTGGATAGAGGTCTGTCTGTCTCTGACATCCGTGACTCTCAATGCCTTGGATTTCCCAGAGAATTGTTTGGATTGCCTATCTGTGCTTATCTTTAGCATCAGCTTTTTACCTCTGCTATGGGCAGTCTGTGCTGTCTGCCTATCTGAAACATTTATTGTGTTTCCATGCTTTACCTGATCATCAGCCTGCTGACTTTGCTGCAGTCTTGTCATTTGCTATAACCATCTATCCTGCTTGTTGCTGGCTGGTGACCCTGGCAACCCAGAGGGTCTACAGAACTGCCTGACAGTGAGCTATGGAAGCCACCATACTTTTTTCTTAGTACAAGTTTTAAACTATTTTTTTCTCTATTTAAGTCTTTTTTTTAAGTTATTTTCAAAATATATGCGCAGACCAACCATGTTTAATCAATGCCTATGCATGCTGCACTTCCTACTTAGTAAGGAAATGACCAAATGTGCTTTACAGTGTCAGAAATTTTCTTGCAGCCATGATACAGCATGGAAAAGGATAAGAGCACCTAGAGATCATTGCTACCATATGACAGATCAACCTGATCAACATCTGCAAATTAAATAAATATTACCTTCAAACTAGCTTTCTAAAAATAATCAGCCAAAGAAAATTGTTGTAAAGAAGCCTCAAAGCTTTAGTACACAATGGAAAATGAAAAGCCAGATGAGTCAACAGTGAGAACATTAACAATGTAGGTGGAAACTTTTTTTCTTTAAAAAGTCCATGCATAAGCCTTCTCTAAAGAAACTATCACTGTCAAACCTCCAAAGTGTAAAACCTAAAAATTATTCATGTGAATTTTAAACAGGAGTTGAGCTAAATGAGAACGTTTGACAGAAAATAGAGTGCTGGTGTTTCTATTTAACACATTTTTTGTACAGAATTATGCAGTGTTATCTATGTAAAATAGTAATAGCTTCAGCTGGTGGTGACACCTCTACAACCATAAGGCAGATAAAGCACAACGCTGAATAAAAAACATTGTGTGTTCTGGATTTGACCATATTTCCTGTGTTGTTACTGAAACAGGAAGTGAACAAAATCTCTTCAATAGGTGCACAGGCAGTGTGCAAAAAACACTTTTTTTTCATTTTTAAAGTAGTGTGGGGAAGAGTAACGTTTTAATTGTTATCTGTGTCCTCACTAAGGAGATCATATCACCTCTTCACTTGCACAGGAAATGACGGGAATTTCCCCCAAAAGACACAGATAGCTTAAAAAAACCAAACCTGAAAACCCTTCCCTACTAAAACCAAAACCTAAAAACAATCAATGGCTGGAGTTTGGCTTTAAGGAATGGGACTGTGTCTGGCTCTCCACACTCTTCTATAGTACCTTTTGGACCTTTCACACTGGCAAAATAGCCCTCACCCCTAAGACATACCCTAACCTTTGGAAGTGTAAGAAGAAATCCTGCTTTAGATAGCGTTGCATCAAAGTTTTGGAGTAAGGTAAAGGGAAAACAGTAAGAAGGAAGAATACAGTTGAACTATGTGCAATGGAAAGTTTTTAGAATCAATAACAGCTTCATGGAATAGGAAAAATATAATAAACAACATGGAAAACCCTATAAAAGTGAATGTATGGTCAAAAATAAAAATTCTAAATTATGCAGAACTTGCCCACAAATGCGCGTTGTTACTAGTAGTAAGAGATACCTGGCCATCATGCTAGAAACCTGGGCTGTAGCTAACATCCGTCCTTGATACAATTTTTACAAAGCTTGGCTCCATCTAGTGGCAGTAATGTGCTGCGAACATTCTTCGCATAGCCATACGCTGTGCAATCAAATTTTAAGTCAGCCCCTTAGTGCCTGCACTTGAGTTTAAGGCAACATGCTCCATATGAAAATTGTTACAGATTGTTTAAGTCTACTTTAAGCTTGGTGTTCAAGCATCACCATCATCAGGTGGTAAACACTAAGGGCATCATAATACAACATCGCGGTCTCACTCCTCATACTGCTATAAATACTAGGAATGAAGGATATGCATTGCACTCCCAGTGCCCATGGTGGAAAGAGTGAACAGACACATAAGGAATAAAGCTCTTTGCCACCTGCGAACATTTCAATGGATCATATGTTGCAAAAATTCTTGCCACACGAAAAGAAGCTATTCCTAGTATATGTATTGTAGATTTCTCAGTACAGAGGCCCTGGATTTAGGGCTTCCAGGTGCTCAACAAGAAAACTAAAAGGGAAGTGCAGCCTGTTCTATGACAGTGAGCCTTTGCCATGTTTAGTATCACCTCAGACTCGCTTTAAATGCAGTAAACCATGGCAACCAAATCAGATTTAATCGTAAAGTCAGACCAATACAGGGTGGATTTGATAGCTTGCTAGGAGATAGGCCTTCTAAATACAAATGTTAATAAAAATGACGACTCTATTTTAATATATTCAAGCAGCTATGATTTTGTAAAACCCAAATGTTCTGTCCATGTATTTGGCTGTTTCGCAGCAGCTTTATTATATAATTACAACACTGGGACTGATCATGGAATTATAGCAGTCACACCCACCAATTTAGCACTCCATCTACCCTCAATCTATGAAATTAGCATAATAGCCCACCTTAGTATCTATAGAAACAGAAGCAGCTAAAGATTTGCAATAAAGATTATAACAAGTACATAAATTGAACTAAATAGGACTGCTTTTAAAAAAGCAGACTTTCATTATAAGAGTACGGTTGTACTAAATATCCCGCTAAAAAGTCTGCCTATCTGCAGTCCCTTTAATTAAAAGCTTGATGTTGTGTGGGCAGTTTAGGATCACTAGCAAGAAGGATCAATAGCACTCGGTTACTATTTTGAACACCTGTGAAAATAAAGAATGGAAATCCCAGTGTTAAACCAGAAAGAAGGAAGAGAGATTTGCATATTAGTAAAAGGAACAATGTGTTGAGTCAACACATCTTGGAACCCTTGGATACCTTCTGGGCTCCTGAAAAGGCGTGATAGAAGCTAGAAACGTAGGTCATGATGGCCTTCTCATCAGGGCGAGCAGTCCCAACAATGTCTGTCAAGAAAAGGTTTAAAGCATGTTGATATAATAAGTGAAATGGAGACAGACTTGACAACACAGAATGAACTAGGTGATGTAAACAGCGATTGTGAACAAACATTTAACCTACAACATTTCACATCAAGCTGATTCTTCTGCTTAGCTGAAAACATTTTTTTCATGCTGTGACATTTTGGCACATCAAAAGGATTCCCATAAATTTTTATAAGGGTAAATGAGTACTTTATAACCAGGCAAAGATCCCAGTGAAATGGCAAAATGGTAAGGTGGAAATGCTGGAAGTCTAGATTGGGAACACATAAGACATGTAGAAAGATTTTCTCAAACCTGCAAAAGTGGAAAGTCACTTTAACTTTCAACTCTGCACTGCCAATTTGACACTTGGAAGCTGATTGGTTGTATTGGGGCAACTAGAATTTTGCATGCTAGAACACTTTTTCTTGAAGTATAATTCTCCATTTTGCCGCCACATTGGTATAATACCTATTTTATGATAGTTACATGTTTCCATTCACATAGCATAACTTAAAATAAATGGAAATTGCTGCTTATCTTTATAAATGTTCCTTTCTAAAAACTCCAGGACTAAAAATCCTTCTAAGCTCTCCCTTGCTATGCAATGTTTATGACGGGGCAGGGGAGCAGTTGTGTTTTCCATAATTAACCCTGTCTGTAGTATGCTGGCAGGTTACATTATCGGTTGTCAACTAGATGTGCAGGACTGTTTGTCCTAACAAAGGGTTAAAGATCTCAAGTCATTGTATGTTACTGTACTGTCTTATAGTAATAACAATAGTCTTGTCCCTCCTCTTGTCCCTTATCTCTAGATTGCAATATTTTCAAAGCAATAGAAAGCCCTATGTATATTTATGCTCCAAAGAAACAACTAAAATATTTTTAAAATATATATTTTTAGATATGCTTTGTGAATGGTTTAATGCGGTTTTCTCACATTTGACTGCAAGGGTAGAAATACACTTTAAATAATCCCCTCTGTGGACATGTGACCAAAGTATTTAAAAATAGCGAGAGAGTACTTGGAAGGCAGTTGCAAAACAGGCAGTCTGCTGCCAGTGTCCATAATTTAAAAGAGGGCAAACATTTTTTGGCCATAGTTCTCTTTAGGGTCACAGGAGGACATGTACTAATGTACTCCAGCGACTCAAAACTCAGCAAATGGCTAGCGATTGCCTGATATATGCTGACAGCACAGAACCGCGCAGCAGTCGGGAAAGATCCTGTGTGTGTCCATAGACACACAGAGCGCGGCAAGCCACACCCCCAATCTCACAGTTTGACTATCGCTCCTCTGCCCTCAATACCCGTCCCCACAACCAGGATGTTTGGGGAACAAAGGATATCTTCCTAGACCCCGGTGGAGAAGACAAGCGACCACAGGTAAGTGTGTGTGTGTGTGGGGGGGGAACAGGATATACAGAAAGGAACTGGGCGTTTTTTGCTTTAAAGCAGAGAAAGCATTAAGGTAAAAAACGCAATGCCTTTAGTACTACTTTAATCCAAATAAATAGCCCAGATGACCATTTAACTGTAAAGTAAATCTGTGCAATTTCCTATGCAGAACAAAATGATAGGTTCACTGTCATCTCAGCCTCACCAGATGCCCAACGATGCCTATGACGCTCTGTCCGGCTTTCTGTCTAGCTCACAAACGTCATCGGTTGCCAGGGAGGATTGGGCAGGATCAGACAGAGAGCTGCTGACAGGCACGGATCTCTGTGTGGTCCCACAGCCCACTCTGTCCCACCGCATCTGACACTGCCCTGCATGGCAAGCCTCCCCGCCCTTTCCCGAAAGCAGCAACCCCCACCCCCGCCTCAGGCGGGTTACTGGGTAGGGACGGCCCTGAAGGTAAAGTATAAGCAGCTTCAGAGGGCTCAGTATTGAACAGAACCTGCTGCGTTGCTCTGCATAGACAAAGAGAGTAATAATAATAGTAATAATAACAATAAGAATTTGTTTGTTATTAATATTATTACAAGTAATATAGCCAACAGAGTTTGGAAAGGTTCTAAAAACCATCTAGACTTAAAAAGTCAGGATCATGACCCAAAAAAAAACCCCTATACATTTATGGCTAATTTTAGGTTAAAAAAAATGTACCTAGAGACCTGAAGAGGTTTAGATTTCCCTAGATTATTACTTGGTAAATCTGGCTTCTGCTTTGTGGTCTGCTATACACAAATATACCAATGAATGACTGAACAAACCAGTTCAGTAAAACTAAGATGAGCAACACAGCGCTACAGGTGACTGTGGGTAACCACTCATTACCCAAACAGGGAGGTCCACACTTGTTTTATAGGCCCGTGCATTTTTTAACACACAACACTGCCTCAAAAATATTTCACTCTAAAACCAGAAGTAGAGAAAGAAATACATGTTGTAGCACTAAATATAATCGGATTAAAGAGTTCTCCCAGAAAATTCAGTCTCCAAAGCATTAATTACCTTCAGCATCCAACATCTTGGGAATATCAAGGAACCTCTCAGCGACATCGAAGGCAGTGTTCAGATTTGTGTAAGGGTCATCCTACATATACACAAATGAAATACATTTTAGCTAATTGACAAAAAAACCCTGTTAAATAAATGATGACTTTTGTTGAAGTTCCACTTTAAAAAAAACACATTTGATTTGCTTTCTGTAACAAGCATTTATACTTTTTTTTTTATTATAGTAAAGGGGACCGCAATACCTTCCGTAATTTGCCATAGTCAATGAGCTCTGGGCGGTGTCTATGAATAAGGGCGCAGAATCCAAGACCATCTTTCCAGCTGTAAATAAAGAAAAGGCAAGTTACTTTTTACTGTCTTACATAATGTCATTAGTATAATGCCAAAGCATCCAGCAATTTTCACCCCTAGAATTAAGTGTGCACCCCTCTAAATTTGAACTGTTGTGTACAATTTCACACTGTCCACTTTCAGTCAGCAGGTGCAGCGCTTGAGGAATTTCTCTACATTTATATTGAGTCATTTTACTGCTATGTTGTGAAAAGCCTTTTGTAATCTGACCTGCTGTTCAGCTGTGTTCACAACACACACACACACAGCTGGATACTCCTCCCTGCCTCTAGTCCACACCCTCCTGCATTGATCGTCAGTTGGCATTGTTGTGCTTTCTTAATACAAAGCTAAAATCATTCTCTGCTAATAAAGTGTTATGGAAGTACCCTATATTATATGTTAATTTGTAAAATAAAGATTTTACAAAAGCGTTGCAAAATGACATCAGTTTATTAGCTTAAAAACAGAAAAATAATAATAGAACTGACCAAAACTATTACCGTTTCCCCTTAAGTAACTTTGACAGCAAGAGTTAAAAAATCATATGTGGATATATTTCATTGTGTGATGGTCACATTTTTCTGGCATTAAGAAGCATAGGTCATATGGTAGTTTACCATATGAAAGAAATATATATATATATATATACACACGTTTCGCTCTGAGGCCTTGTTCCCACCGAAAGCGGTGTGCTCCAGAGCGGTAGCTGCTGGAATGCACCGCGATCGCTCAGAAAACTTCCCCCTACGTTCTGGGGCGGGAGGAGGCGTTGAATTCAATGGCACCGCTTCCACGCAGTGCGATCGGACGCATGGCAAAAGTTTGCCTGGGTTCCATTCCACTGCAAACACAAAAACCAAGGCTTGGTCTATTTTTTGCGTTTGCGTTGGAACGGAACGCAAGCAAGGTTTTGCCACGTGTCTGATCGCATGCGTCGGGGGGCGGGGGGGGGGGGGGGGGGGGGGGGGGGGGGGCGCGTGGAAGCGGTGCCATTGAATTCAATGCATCGCCACGCCCCCTCCCCAGAACGCAGGGGGAAGATTGCAGTGCGTTCCAGCAGCTACTGCTCAGTCAGAGGCTGAAGGTTTATCTGATGTCTGACAGCTTCGGCCCGCTCAAATGATTGAGCAAGATCAGCATTTGTTGAGGTCTTACCTAACCACATAATTCCATTAATGCCCCTATTGGGGAGATTTCTACTCTTTCACATTCTTTCATAAAAAACTTGGCTAGTGTTATAGATTAGGTGTTAGTATTAGGTGAGAGGCAAAGTCCACCTTTTAGAAAAAAAATTATCATAATAAAGGCACATTTAAAATACTCATTACAAAAACATGGCCCCAATGCTCTGGCTTCTGCAGACTCTTTCTCCCGTCCAGTCCCCAGACTTGTATTGGGCTGTTCTGAATGCTGAACCTGCTACCAGGGAAAGCCCCATAAAAGTCTATGAGGGCTGGGTGCGTAGGTACAGCCGCTCCACAGAGGATTGCCAGAGGCGAAGTAAACACTGCACAGGACAAGGCTCTACTACTGCAGTAAATAAAAAGCTAGGGTGAGCGATGTTAGTGCAGGCTAGTTCAGGAGGGGTGGGGGTGGGGGGGAGTGTGATAGCCACAGCAGGAAATAGGCAGAAATCCCTCCAAAATAAGGGAAATCCTTGGTGGTCAGCAGGATCACCAGAACTAGTGTCCCTATTGGAAGATCTCCCATCTATTCCTGTTCTGCTGACAACCCAAAATATGGAATTTTCTCTTACTTTCAGTGATGACACCAGGACAAATAGGGCGAATCTCATTACTGGTGACAAAACAGCAATACAAACTTCACATGTGTTCTAATCCCTCTCCACTCTATTCAAAACTAAAAAAGTGTGGGTTTCAGTTGCACTTTAAATTTACAGTTGTCCTGTGTGTATAGCTAGGTGCCTACAACCATTTCAGGTGTGATGAATGTACAACACAGCCAATTCATACTACTTACAGCATAGCAACAAAGGCAAATATTTAGAAGCCAAAGCTTAATGTAGCAATCTCAGAGAGAGAACGTATGCCTGGTACATAATTAAACCAAGAGCAAATGTGGAAGAGCTGTGTGGGCGACCCATTCTAGCTCCACTCACCTGATGTGGAAGTTCTGTATATTTACATTCTTGTACGGTGCAGTCTTTCTTTGACACCACAACAGCAGCCCTTCTTTGGCAGAGGTTTCTGTGGCAGACACAACACATTTTAATATCACCAGCTCCAAACAATTGCAGGTAGAAGCACAGGAAAAAAACAATTTTAAATGCTTACTTGCAGTGTTTTCACTTTCCTAAAATGATTTCTCATTTATTTTAAATTTGCATTTGACATTGCTCAGAGTCAATTCCCTAGCACAGTCGCCTTTCCTCCTACAATGTCATTATCCTCTCCTTTTCTGGAAGTATCTAATCACTTTCTGTGGTGGCCTAGCTCCTGGGCTTCTCCCTTCACCTCTCTAGATAACCTTTTGTATAACAGGAAGTGGGGAAGGAGAATAACAACGAGCAGTGGTTACTAAATGGCGGATCATGGTCCGGACATGGACCACAAGGCGGTTCTGTTTACACCGCAGTCGCCTACCTGTGCTGGGTTATGGTTGGCTGACAGAGGATACACTGGCCTCCTAGGCTGGTGTTTCCACTGCCAGCCATAGGCAAACCTGCACCCAATTCATCCTTTGCTATATATGCTGCAAGATGGAGGCTCTGGTAAGTCTGCTGGGAAATTTTTGCTTTTGTACTGTGTAAAGCTCCTCCATGTGCACCTTGCTTTAAAGCTAGTGATGAACTGATGAGTGCGTTTGCCATTTGTTTCATGTATCCATCAATCAGGTCTCCCAGCGATGTAATCCACGTCAGTCTCAATAACCCATCATCGATTAATACATGCTGCACTTGCACCACTAAATGACAGATTCCCAGCTGCAATAACACTGTCACTGACTACATTTAAATGACTGCGCCCTCTTTACTTGATCAAATTATGATATCGCTACTGTTCACAAAATCAAAAAATAGTGCAGATATGCAAGAAAAAAAAGCACCTTCAACAGAAATGTCTTGAATAGCAAAGCGAAGGATAATTGTCCAGATCATTCCTAGCGTCATTTTAGCATTCCCGTCCACAATTTCTGAAAATAAAACAAAAATATAGGCTCAGTGATGAAAGAAGTCCGTGGTTACATTTCTCATTCCAGTACTAAAAAAAAACTCAAAACATGAAAATAGTAATAATTGTGCTTTAATTTTTTTGACTACTTGATTCCACATCACAGCAAACATTTTATATTTTCAAGCTACACACACACACACACACTATACTAATACTATATAAACACGGTATTGAATATAAATTACTGAATTATATTGAAATGTGTATATTGTGTTTTATTTTTTAAACAAACTATATTTGCCAAAGAAAGCCGTGTATGCGCCTCCCCCTTTGTGCTCCACTTCCACTAGGAGGGCACATATCATAGTGGAGGACAGTTCAGAAGCTGGTGGCTATGCAATAGGCCGATCGCACAACCAACGCTGCTCCTGTCATTGTTGTCACACTAACATTGTAAGCCCCTAAGTAGTCAGAACTTGGAGAGAAAACAACTCCCCCAATGCTAGCGACAGAGGGTAATCTACCAGTTTGTTTGTTATTTTTTTAGGGGGGGGGTTCATACATTTTCTATTTTCTAGTTTAGTATTATTTTGACTGGTAGATGAGGCAGGTTACTGCACTTTGCCCGTAATTATAGCCACTGTTATACAGGACACGCCTTTACTTACACATTCATATACGAGAGATGCCAGGGCACATGCTGCAAGGTTTTCCCCAGTCTGAGAATAGCAGTAAACCTGTCAGAGAATATGGAGGCTGCCATTGGTGATCTCTCCTTTCTCAAATGCAAGTCATACTAATCCTCTTACTTCAGTACTTTTACCCACTGACCTGGAACCAGCATGTGGATGAGGACTTCCGACTTACTCCAACTTCCTGATGTCTATGTTTGGTCTTAAAGAACCAGGCAGGAGAAAACTTAAAAAGACCATTTCCACCTTTGCGGAGGTATGTTTAAAAAAAACATATGCCAGCAATGTACACTGAGTGTACATGAAGCAGGCATATGCAGTTGCTGTATATGAACACAGAAACATACATCTTTTGTTAGCTTTCCCTCTTCATATCCTCATGGAAATGGCCACCGCTGTGCTTTGCAAGCAATCTGTGACTCCTTCTTAACAGTCTGACCCTGGTGTCAAACTAAGGTTTCCTGTGGAGAAAATTTTGAATTTCTGGGATTCAGGCCAAATTTAAAAAAAAACAAAAAATGAAGGCCTGCAATGCGAGTCATTAAAATGTACACACATATACAGCATCACTGCACCTCTACATTACCACAATAAGCGCTAACCCCTAAAAGCTGGAAAATTGACCCCTTCACACTGGTGGTTTAAGAACCTATGAGTCATCACATCCTATACAGTGTATTGGACGCAAGAACACCAAGGGACATTCCATTGCTGTAGCGGAGGTGGTGAGAGGATGGAGGGACCAGTCTAGCAGCCAGCCCGAGGTAAAGGTGAGTATAAGTTTGTTTTTTTAGACTCTAGACAAAAATGAGCACTGAACCCATCTAGTGTGGGGGTAGCCCTAATGAGGCTTAAGTTTTATTCTGTCTGGAGTTTTTCTTTAAAGTATTGATGTCAAAGACAGCCAGAAAGGAAGCTAGCGTTTCTGGAGGACAGCAATGACAGCCTGTGTATTTTATCCACGGCAGGTTTACTTTCTAGAGACATCGTCATGTTGCCAATGCAGGTCAAAGTGAAAAAGTGTCCTCATATATACACTGAGTGGGCAGATTATTATGACCACCTGACCTTTGTAGGCAAATTAGCTATAATTTCGCGCTGAAGTTGCTAGAGGGCCAGACCATTATAAATTGAGTATTTGTGGGAAGAAGGTGAAAGAGCCATCAGGCAGCTAGTTCCACAACCATCAAATCTCACAGAACTGGACAGTGCTATTCATCAGGCATGGTGTCAGGATTCCTCGTATCACCTTTCAACATCTCGTGGAGTCAATGCCAAGAAGAAATCGCCGCATTATTGAAGGCAAAAGGTGGCCCAACGAAGTACTGATGGGGTGGTCAAAATAATCTGGCTACTCAGTGTATATGTACACACACACACACACACACTAGTTGTTCGCCTGATGTTCATCTTTAATGCAACTGGTGGTTACCCAGACACAATGGGAAGAATGTATCAAAACAGAAGCAGACAAAATCTAGAGCAGTTGTCTATGGCAACCAATCAGCTTCTCTCTTTTATCTTCAAATCTTAACTGAACAGACTGAAGAGAGAAGCTGATTGGTTGCCATAGACAACTGCTCCATATTTTGTCTGCTCCTGTTTTGATAAATTCCCCCCATTGATATGTGCTATATATTTTTTTGCCTTCCTAATCCCAGGATTTGTTTTGCAGAGGAAGGATGAATACATGTAAGAGGGAATATGAGTTCAAAACCAACTGACTGCATTTGGAAAACCAAACTGCAGGAGCACCAGCACCTTGAATATCTGCCGTTTGCCCCCTCAAGCACCTGTCATTAGATGTCTTAAACACCCTCATGCATTACAGGGAATTCATACTGGTCATACCAAAGTATCCTGGAAATGTTTTCCTTAATGATGATCTATAGGGAGGCTGACAACATTGCTCTCAAATATATCATCCCAATCTATTTGTTGCATATGAGTACCCAATCTCATATGCCATATATCCCTGGCCTTTGTGTGTTCCGGTTGTCAGGCATGCCATACCAATGAATATGCAATATAAATCTTGCCTTCAAGCTTGACTTTTACAGAAAACGTTGAGTTCTGCATATATATTCCATTCCAAGCATACACACAGTTTCCAAAAACCTGAAAAGGGCTATTGACAGTATATTTAGAGTTCCCAACAAGCAAATCTGCACATTTCTCATTGGGTGTAATTATTATTTCAACAGACCACACAAGAATGTCAGAACATATATAGTTAACCTAGTTGATGATTTTACCAACTTGTTAGTACAGCAGGTTGTAGCGAAGGTGGAGTAACCTTTAATGTCTAGTTTAACTGATCCCAAGATTAAATGATGAGTTTCAGGTAATAAATGTTTATTATACTGTACAGATATCGTTGCCATGTGCACACCCACTACTCAGTTAATGACTGACACATTACACTCTAAAGTCGGGTATACACACTTACATTTTCTTTGTTTAAACGGCAGGCCGAACACAGAAAATAGAACAGATTTCTCCATCCATGCTGAACAGTGTGGATGGACAAATGTATTTATTTATTACAGGTATTTGTATAGCGCCGACAATTTTATGCAGCGCTTTACACATGACACATTCACATCAGGGCGCTATCTCACATGTATACATACAGGGCCAATTTAGACTGGAGCCAATGAACCTTCCAGCATGCTTTATATAGTACACATTTACATTCAGTCCCTGACCTCAAGGAGCTTACAATCCAAGTTCCTTATCTCAAGCACAGGGAGAACGTGCAAACTCCTGGCCAAGATTCGAACCAGGGACCCCCAGTACTGCAAGGCAGAAGTGCTAACCACTGTGCTGCCCATATACAATTTACACAAAAATGTTTCCAACAAGTTCCTTCAGCAAAAGTCGATCTAATGATTAGGGTCACAAACCCTGCTTCCTGCTAAATCAGCTGACATTCATTGAATGTGTACTCAGCTTTAGATTCTATGCTGGGAACAGACCCATTACAAACTAAAGGATAATTTTAATTTCATATTGACAGATTTAACATTCTCCAAAACACCCAAATAATGGTCACAGTGTCTAAAAAAAAAAACAAACAAAAAAAAAACAAACACATTTCAGTGCATGTCTGCAGTATATGCACTTTTGCTCATAATTTGTGACAGATATCCAGTGTGCTCCCAACAGTAAACCCCATTACTGGTAGGACAGTCAGACTGCTCCAGGTGACCAGTTCAAGATACTATATAACTTTAGAAATCATTGTATTAAAAAAAAAAAAATACCGTATTTGCTGGCGTATAAGGCGACTGGGTGTATAAGACGACCCCCTAATTTTCCACTTAAAACATAGGTTTTGGGCTATACTCGTCATATAAGACTACCCCACTTCCGAGGCAACACCATTTAAAAACATCATGGATGGATGTGCGGTAATACTGTATGTACGGTAGCTTCAGCTACATGCAGTATACCGTGCTGAGCCAATCACTGCGAGCAACGTATTCTATTAATGAATACAAAGCTTGCTTGGATTGGTTGTGTACATCGCTCACCGTGATTGGCTCAGCTACTGTATGTCGCCGAAGCTAACGTAGATACAGTATTACCACACATCCAGCGGGCTGACAGATTAGGGATGTTCGTTTTGGGCCAGCTTGGCCTAAACGAACTAAAGGTATACATTGTATACCCTGCGTATAAGACGACGCCCGATTTTCGGGGGATGTTTTTAGGTATAAAAAGTAGTCTTATACGCCAGCAAATACAGTACACATATTTAATTGTAATACAAGTGAAACAAGCTTTGACCAGACCGATAAGACTGAATCAAGAAATTAGTGCAGAGTTTGCCATAATATACGCCTGAAATTGAATACACTTTGCACTCCTACAGGACACTTAATAGTAAATATAGACACTAACATTAGTGACCGCTCCTGTCAGAAAAGACCCAACTAGGTATTAAACACAAGAACATAACAATAAAAAAAGATGCAGACATCTTAGGGCAGGTAATTATCACAGTAAATGTTAAGATGTCCTTTCATCTTCAGAGTAAAACCAGTTTCTCTTTAATGATGGTCTCTTCCTCTGTAAATTGTAATAACTAGAACCACTCTGCTTCCTACGACAAGATGGCTGTTCATATGAAGATGAGGTCACCAGACCCAACTTATGCTTATAAGTCCTATAATGAGAAGACCAAATCCACTGGAAGAGGGAACAAAAGAAGCAGCAAATGCACAGGTTTACACTATACGGCCAAGCGCTTAAAGGTTTACCATCACACCTACTCTATTGCCAATGTATATGGACCCCACACCAAGCTACATACTTCAGGTGTTTCCAATGAAGGGTATTGTTAATACTAAAGCAAAGATATTTTAGCCAATTATGCACTTCCAACCTTGTGGTAGTTTGGGGAAAGCCATTTCTGTTCTAGGATGACTGAGCTCCTGTGAACAAAGGTCCATAAAGACATGGTTGGTCAGGTTTGGAAATACTTGAGTGGAATGCGCAGAGCCTTGACCTCAGTCCCAGTGAACACCTTTAGGATGAATTGGAGTGCAGACTGCAAGATGGGTCTTGCCGTTCAACATCAGTACCTGACTTCACAAATTCTTATATACAGTAGGTGTGGTGGTCAGGTGTCCACAAACGTTAAATCATCTAGTGCGTCAGTTTGCGATTTAAGTGTATGCATTTACATGTAAAGATATAAAATATCCTGATTTACTTAAATTCAGTCATTTAGAAATGGACGGATATGTATGTATGCGAGATGGGGACCTTAGATTGTGAGCTTCTTGAGGGCAGGGACTGATGTGAATGTGTAACTATGTAAAGCACTGCGTAAATTGTCGGCGCTATATAAGTACCTGTAATAATAATAATATATAGATCTCTTTGCCTTTTGCGATACACATGCTTCTATGTGTCTATGGGCTTAAAAATAATAAAATAATTTAGCAACGGGCTTTATACCAGGACAGTCATTTCCCACATCCACTCTAGAGATGTTTCTGTTATATGATATATGACAATTTTCAGATTATCCCGATTCAAAGGTCTTCTTACCTTCAGCACCAATGGAGACCAGTTTTACCCCTTTACCGGTAATAAAATTCAGAGCTTTGTTGACATTGGAGATTTTGTGCACTCGCATTTTTCCACGTTCAGGTTTAGCCAAGCGTTCGCCTGTTGGATGAAAAAGGGATTGTTTTAAGTTTATAAGTATATATACAGTACATTAAGTACATATAAGCAATATGTTCAATTCAAGAATCTGTTCTGATAATATGGCAGAGTATTGTAACAACAGAGTGGCAGCAAGCATGAGTAAGTACTGCAAGTGATCAACAACGAAAACAACTTTTACAAAATGTCAGAAAATCTCTGGGATTAATTCAGGATTGTTATATATAAAAGAATAGTCTTCATTATTCTTCATGTGCAGCATGATGTCAATCAAGCTGCATTGTGGCAGGCCCTGCATGTCTTCAGGCAGTGTATTGCCTCCCTCTGTCATGTCAACTTTGTCAGGTGGAGTTGTAGAAATAATACTTTCTCTCCCGTTCATTGAAGGACACAGGGCAACAGATCGTAGATCCTGTATGGTAGGTATATCGCCACCTGCAGGAGTAGGACGCTAGGCACATAACAAAAAGACAAAAAACAGCCTAGGGGCGGCCCCTGCTGGTGGCCCAACCCCCCACCTGCTGACAAGTCTCCAGTTTTTTGCCTAGCGTCAGGAGTAAGGAGCTAAAAATTTTCTCTGGAAAATTTCTTTCCTTTTTTCCGTTTTTTTTTGGCGATTCTTCTAGATGGGGGGCCCTAGTAGGGGCCGGGCCGCGTCGGCGGCTACCGCTCACGATGGATTTGTGATATGGTTGTTCAGGCGTATGCCGTTGGGGGGCGTGAGCCCCCTTTCCCTGTCACTGCCCAGTCTACTAGGGCTGTTGGAGCTTCCTGGGCTTTTCGCCATGGGGCTTCTGTTTCTCAGGTTTGCAAGGCCGCTGCCTGGCCTTCTGTTCACGCCTTTGTCTAGTTCTACAAGGTGAATGTTTTAGCATCGGCGGATGCTGGTTTGGGGCGCAAGGTTTTGCAGGCGGCTCTTTGGGTGCTTCTTGGGTTGTTTGTGTTTGCCCATCCCTCATTGAGTTACTGCTTGGTGACGTCCCTACCATACAGGATCTACGATCTGTTGCCCTGTGTCCTTCAATGAACGGGAGAGAAAATAGGATTTTTGTACTCACCGTAAAATCCTTTTCTCTCCGTTCATTGAAGGACACAGGTCCCGCCCTCTTTTTATGGGGGTGCACTCCTAACTGCTTGTTACTAACTGGAGACTTGTCAGCAGGTGGGGGGGTTGGGCCACCAGCAGGGGCCGCTGCTAGGCTGTTTTTTGTCTTTTTGTTATGTGCCTAGCGTCCTACTCCTGCAGGTGGCGATATACCTACCATACAGGATCTACGATCTGTTGCCCTGTGTCCTTCAATGAACGGAGAGAAAAGGATTTTACGGTGAGTACAAAAATCCTATTTTGCATGGCAGACACAAAATCAAAAGTGGATCCATAGCTAAAATAAAAAAACATAACTTCCCCAAATGACACTAGAAAAGTCTTCAACAGCTCAGATATCACTTCAAGGGAAGGTAGAAACCCTGGGTATCTACAGAATTTGCCTATCTATATAGATCTTGGCTCAGATGGAGGCTGGTGCAAGGATGAAGGTTAGCAAATATCATACTAGTAAATAATAAACCTCTGCACAGCTAAACTAAAGAATGCTTTCTTCAATATACTTTTGTCACAACAAAGTAAGCACTCTATCCATCACTGTCCATAAGGAACCTGACAGTATTTTAGCCACTAGAGAATGCACCATGGTTGTAAGACAACACATAGTATTGTGCTTTCTGGGTTATCTGGAGCAGTTCTGAACAGGAACTGCTGTTCTCCTAAAGCCAATTCCTTTCTCTTCTGGAAAATAGGACTTGGGTTATACTCTGCATAATGTGCTCTATATGTTCACTATAAAATGAATGTTGTACTAGTCAGGGTTATGTGTGGCTTACTGCTGTAAAAAGTGCTCCTAGCTAAAACATCACTCATATTGCAGATGTTTTCCATTTTAAAATGCATATACACAGGGGTTTATGTATGGTCATTCACTAGTCGCCATAGTTCTACGCACCTGAAATGACTTCAAGTAGTAACATAAGTTTAAGGCCATCTCTGAAATCCTCATCTATGTTCTCAATCTGTGTCCCAGCTTTCCGGAGATGTGAGTTACACCATGCTGTGAAGGTCTGTAAAGCAAATCAATGGTCAATGACAGGAAAGCAAAGTATAAAAACATAACATATTGTACAATATTATACATGACTGTAATTCTTAAAAATATCAATTGAAACCACATACATACAGTTTGGTAGTGGCAGAAAACACTTGCTAAGGCAGTCCTATACAGGTACAAAACAAGGGGTCTATTTTTTATTCTCTTCCTTACCATTTTTCATGTTCAAACAGCCATTTTGGTGATTTACAAAGGCAAATAAAAACTCTAAAAAATGTAAGATTGAATATTAAATGTGACGCCTGGATTTGTTTTTTAAATCACTATGTACCAAGTCATTAAAAACTCCAGGTATGCAGAAAGTTAACTCTTGCAATGGGTCTACCCCAGCACTGCAAGGGTTAACTGTTTGTTGTTCTGTGGGGCCAGAATAAACAAGATGTGCTGACCCGATATTTGGTCCTGCAGCAGTGAGTGCTCATCTTTCTCCCACTCCATCCCCTCAGCATTCTCACCTCTAATGCAAGTGAATGGGCTGTATTAGACATAATGATGTCAGCCAGGCTTAGACTGCCAGAGGCAGGGGGAGAAGAGGCTGCAGGGACTGGTCTAGCAGCCAGTCTCAAGCATCAGGTAAGTATATTTATTTGTGCCCCTAAAGAACAAGCAGTTAACCCTTGCAGTGTGGTGGTAGCCCCACACTGCAAAGGTTAACTTTTTACATTCCTGCAGTTCCTCTTTAAGCTCTAGCCCCTTGTTCTGCCTCGAGGGCCTCTTGCACCTGCTCTGGAGCCCCCTTTTAATAAAAGTGTGTAAGCCATAGCAGGCAAGACTGCCTGGTAAAGCATGGGGATAAATGAATGGCGTCCCCATGATCTAACAAATATACACATTTGAAATAATTAAACCTATTCGGAGGTTTGTGTGGCGACTCCTCGGCACTTCTATGAATAGGAGCTCCTATGATCAGCCATCTGCAGCCCACCCGGATTCAACAATTAAGGGCAAGTTTTGAACAGGTTATAAATGAGAGATCCAAACCACTCAGTTACTACTATAAACTATAGAAGGGGTTTGTTTGGACCAGAGTTCCTCTTTAAGCTATATTTAGCTCAGCTTATCCAGGCCTAACATTGTTGAACCATTGCATTACAAGAAGCCAATTAATTATCGCCTTTATCCCCATTTGCTGCCATCATTTATGTGCAGATCACGGAAACATTTATGACATGACAATTCCTCTGCATGGTATCATTAATCATCATTGGTTTGCTTGTATTCTTTGTCATTATGGCATCCTGTTGCCAGCTGTTGATCAAAGCATTAATTTTCTTTGCTGTATTCAACTATTGGTCTGGATTCCATCTATCTTTTAACTGGACAATGTTCATGCCTCATGTCATTTTCTGGTTTGAGTTGTAATTGTTCTGCTCTGTGTCATTGCGCATTTTGCAGAAGAGGCCTTTTTTTGGTGCTGACAGTAAAAAAAACACACAACATGTTTTTACAGCCTTTAAGGCCAAACTGTCTTTCTTTTCTCCTGGTAAAAATGCTGTGACAACAGTATCTGGAGGGAAGCATTAGGGACTCTGACACTTGAGCTCACTAAATATAGAAGATAGTAAAACACAAAATATAAAAAAAAACACAACAGGTAATCAACTATTTTACAGTATTTATACTGTAAAACATTTCAGCCAATGTTTTGGGTATCGAGTAATTGGTTTATTCTGCAAGGCAAAGCAAGAGGCAGTGCAAGACAAGGAATCTGGTCAGGTCAATTAGCCCCTTACTGCCACCTCCCACCAGCTCTTTAACTGGGACTGAATGTCGGGAGGTGTAGTCCTAGTGTAAATGCTGTGATTGGGTGCCACAGTGGTCACATGAGGGGCCCATTCCACCAGCTCCCAATCATTTACTGTGACCGGGAGTTGTCCTCACACAACAGCAGAGCCCCATGGATGCATATATGCGGCAGCCCAGCATTAAAACTCACCCGCTTTGTTGCCACATCAATGGGTTACCCCAGCAAGAAGCACTTAAAGCTGAATTTATACATATTTAGGCAGCCAGGCAGTCAATGAACCTAGCGCTAATAACCAATGCTACAATCACTAGCAAACAAATGTGAGCATGCTATAGACAGGGCTTTGGCAGATGTAGGCAGAACCAGTCAAAAGAAGTAAGATATTAATTATAACCTGTTAAAACAGTTGATTTCTCTTTCACTGAGGTAGGTAGTAAAGGGAAATCTCCCCAACAGTACTGAAAATATAACAATGGTTCTAACTTTTCTAAACTCTAACCAAACAAAAAGTTTGGTTGGAGTTCCATTTGAAGGCCTCATGCATACAGGCATCTGGGAGTTCCTTTGGCAAGGACCTGCGGAATCCCAGGTGGATCCATACGAATGTGGCTGCTGTTTCTCATTCAAGTACATGGCAGGGTGCCAATGGCCGCATCTATCTGTGAATGTTGGCATGTAATCGTACATGGTATGAATACCTGCAGATTAGGAGAGATGCTTGTCCCTGGATGCAGAGAGCTTGCGTCCCCCGACAGGCATCTCTTGTGGAAGATGCTCCTGAAGACTGATCTTCCCATTCAAGTCCATACCGTGGTACACACATGCAGTAACGTGGATGGGAGAAGTGTAAATGGACTAAAAGTGCAGTGACATAACAGCATTTATATTCCATTCAAGTCCTTCTGCCACGGCCGATGGTCTTGCAGTTTCTGCATTCACAGATCCTGTCAAAGAATGACACCTCTGTGTGGACGGAGCCACGCACAGGTGTACCAAATTCAGAAAGGAAAACAAGCCTGTGGGGCGAAGAACCCTGCAAGTCAGGTAAGTGTGAGGGGGGAAGGCTGAGATCTGACCATTTTTCATATTACACCCTAAATATTGGTGTGACAAAAAACTTGGTCAGAAAAGTAAACTTAGCCTTTAAGCATTTCTTTCATGCATATTATAATTCCTAACAGCACTTTTATGTTTACCATTTTGTAGGATAATGATCAAAACGGAGTATTTTTAGTAAAATGCCAAAATTGGACTGTTTTCAGGCCATGTCCGTTTTGGTTTTCAGGCCAGCCTGTGTTAGATAAACACGTCAGCCTATGAAGAAAACATAATAATCTGTTATTACAGTGCAGACTGGAAAGAACCCTGTATAACACCTATAGAAAGGTCAGAACAATGGCTGTTCTGTGCCTGGGATTATGAGGCAATAAAAAAAGACATCAGGCCAAGCACTTTACAACAGTGACAGTCAGTGGTTTCTAACAGTCACAGCTCAGCACACTTCCTACGTTTGTGAAACACAAGCACCGTGACAGACTGGGCTTCCTGTCCTAGGTTACCTCACTCTGTCTAGCAGAGTAAACCTTTCCGAGATCCCCTGCTATCTGGGCTTTTAAAAAAAAAAAAATTATTTGACAGCGTGGTCGCCATGTGCTGTCAGAGTAAATAAATATTTTACAAAGACATCAACAACAGACAGCATGGGAATAAATAGCTAGGCTGCTATTTGCTTTTTCAATTTGCAATAGCAGGCTGGTTATTGCACCCACCCACTGCTGCCAATCAGCAGAGGTGGACCAGAAGTTCTCCTTCCAGTCCTCCTCTGCTAATTGACAGCAGCAGTGGGCGGGTGCAATAACCAGCCTGCTATTGGCTATTCTAGACCTATTAACCCAGGAAGTAAATGCATGCTACATTGACATTCCAGGCACCTGGTTGCTTGCATTGAGAAAGGAAGTGCAGGCAGCTAGAATTGCCTTCTATATGCTGACAGCACCTGATTAGATAAGTATAGAAGATGTATCTGATACAACATGCCTAACAAAGTTCAACTACTATAAAAGACACTGCAAAGAGCCAAAACGTATGCACATGCAGTAACCTATATATTATGCATTTTGTGGATTTAAAATGACTTTCAATGGGTCTTAACTGTTTTTGCAGAAACATTTTACAAATGCTGTTTTTTTAAAACCCATCCTGAACTTCAGGACATAAATGAGACCTAACCACGCAGTCATGAATTGGACTTCATGCCATGCAACAAAATATGTGCAGGAAAATGGACAAGTGTGAACAGGTCTGATCTGTTAACATAAAGAATATAAAATAGGAAAAATGCAGCCATTAAACAGATCTAAATCTATCATCTGAAGACTCCACATGACGATTAAAAGGGCCTCTCCTAATAATATAAAAGTTCTTCACGAAAGAGCTACATTCTCAACCATACTGTATTTGTAGATTTTATTAGGCTAGGGCAAAACCTGAAATGTTTTCTACCAGATTTTGTGACATTTCATATTGATTATTAATAAATGTAAGGGCATGTTCCACTAAAACAAAATCTTAAATGCACTCATTTAAAAAAAAAAAGGTGCATTTATTGATTTATTTGCAATGTATCCTGCAAAGCAATGCAGACGTGATCAGTAGATTGCAGATGCGGTGCACAAGCTCCAGTAGACTCATTCTCCAGCCCGTCTGTACTGAGGTAGTATAGTTGCTGGGAGGTGCATTGGGGTGCCATTGAAATAAAATGGCAAGGCACCTAGCACGCAGTATGGCACGCCAGGTGTGCTGTACAATGACTTGTGCTAAACACACTGTATCTGCATTTAGCACTATGCTATAGTGTGAACAGGCCCTCAATCAAGCCATTAAAAGTGTCTTGTTATATTCTTTCGATAAATGCAAAAAATTACCTGTTATTCATGTCAGAAATTTAGAGCTGTCCCGTGTGTAACTCCTGTGTTATCTCAAGGAGTCTAATCATCCCCCCAAGATATTATCTTGCATCTACACAATGATTAGTCTCTATATTGTGAAGAATAGGATATGAGTAGTTTAGCAAAAGAGTCCTGGACAGGACAGGCAGCACTCAGGCCAGTGTGTAGTGTGTTGTCAGCCCACAACACAACATTTCTGGAAGATCAACAGGTATTTTGCTGTCTTTAAAGTGCTAAAACATGGCAAAAATGCATGTA